CCCTGTAACTAAGGTAGCGGAGGCCTAGGTAGCCGTCTAAAGTACTGGGGCCTATAACTACCCTGAGACTGCTCCTGAGACTTGGAAAACCTCATCATCTTACGTTGCCCTTGCTCAGTCCTCTCTGTACCCTGCTGCCGACGCCTACCCCTTTCTATATTCTGAGCGAATGCCTGAATTTGGGAGATATCCATACTATCCTGCAATGCAACAGTGGCACATGCCTCGGTCAACTCTGGGGCCAACCCTGCTATAAACATGTGGATCATGTCCCGTATAGTAGCAACTATGGATGGTGCGTATCTGGCCAATGAGTCAAAATGGAGACTATACTCTCGAGCACTCATATTGCCCTGCTTGAGGGCTAGAAACTGATCGACCCAAGCCTGTCGGATCTCCCGCGGTAATGGATGAAAGAGAGAAGTAAACTTACCTTATTTGTTAGATAACTCAGCTCCTAACTTGATTCTTTAAACTCTAGGTTTTACCTCCAATTAGAACTTGAAAGGGAGAGAAAATCAATTAGAGTTTGTGCGCAATTTTTGGGATGATTTTTGCAGAGCTTATGTCTGGTTGTTATGCCCTATTATCAGTCTAATATATAAAGGAGATATGACTTTAAAAGGCCTCTTTGGACGACCCGAATTGGCCCATTTTTGGACTCTCATTTAAGCAAATAGGTGACACACCTACTTGTCACCTAGCATTCTGTGTAGTCTCGCAAAAACGTACATATCTCTCTACTCTGATATCGTATTGACAAACGGTTTAATGCGTTAGAAAATAGACACCTCATAACTCTGATATCGTATTGACAAACGGTTTAATGCGTTAGAAATAAGACACCTCATAACTCTAAGTATATTAGGTGAAAATCGTAGTTACATTTGACCCAAAGTTTCAGTAAAACTTATGAACGTAACTTGTGACGACTTTTATCGACTTTTGTTCCACAACTCGCTTGACTTCAAAACATAACACACGACTATCATACAACTAACATAACTCATAACATAACCTCCTTATCATGTTAAGAACCCTAGTCTCACCCCAAAAGTACATGTTATAACATTCCCAACTTGTCGACTTTCGACGAAACATTATTTTCTTAAATTCTTTTAGCGTCTGAACCTTCCAACCCTCTTTGTACTTGTTGCTCATGATCTTCAATATTAGTAACCTCCTAGGTAACACGATTAACTTAATTTATATATTTTCAAAGATGATATCATTTTTGGTCCTACATTAGTTTGCTCATGACGCAACGAAAATATAGAGTGTAACAGTAAAAATGCCACCATATCAAGTCTGCCGTTACATAAAATGACACTTTTCATCATTACGTAACGACGTATTTAATGATACAATACAATAAAATTTAAGTAACAATCAAAATAAATATTATATTTAAAGTAACAATATGATATAATACAATAGGTAACAACCATCCAAACAAGCTGTTACGGATAAATTATCTATACATATTAAGAATTTTTAAATACAAATACAGAGTTTGAACCAAAATTACTGAGTTTTGCCGAACACGTAAGTAGAAATGTTAGGGGTTTTTGTATCTATACCCAATTTTGAACGTCCTATACCTATTTGCAAAAATATTTGCAAGCCTACCCACTTTACGATCAACTTCAGACTTATCAGGTCTGAAGTTAAAAAACATTAGTATGAAGTAAAACAATTACACTTTAGATGCACTTAAGGCCAAATAGGTCTAAAGTGCAACTAATGGTTTCATGCACTTAAGGCCAATAAGTCTGAAGTGAAAAATTGCTCTTCAGATGCACTTAAGGCCAAAAGGTCTGAAATGCATCAAACTTTTTCCTACACTTAAGGCCAATAAGTCTGCAATGAAAAATTACACTTCAGATGCACTTAAGGCCAATAAGTCTGCAATGAAAAATTACACTTCAGATGCACTTAAGGCCAAATAGGTCTGAATGCAACCAATGATTTCATGCACTTAAAGCCAATAAGTTTGAAGTGAAAAGTTACACCTCAAATGCACTTAAGGCCAAAATGTCTAAAGTGCAACAAACGTTTTCATACATTTAAGGCCAATAAGTTTGAAGTGAAAAGTTACACCTCAAATGCACTTAAGGCCAAAATGTCTAAAGTGCAACAAACGTTTTCATACATTTAAGGCCAATAAGTTTGAAGTGAAAAATTGTATTTCAGATGCACTTAAGGCCAAAAGGTTTAAAGGGCAACTAATGTTTTCATGTACTTAAGGCCAAATAGGTGGAAGTACAAATTGCCCAGAAATAAAAATTTATTCTTCAAATTTTAACAATCCAATATACGATTTAATACCTAAATCTACTCCAAATGAGCTCAAATTTGAAACATAACCTCCAAATATCATCAAGAACAAACTCCAATCATCAAATTGTCAAAACAACAATAAATCTAACGAACCCATTTTACAATTAAGAAAAAGAAAAAAAAAAGTAACCCTAATCAATAGTAAAAAACAAAGCGCAACAACAACTCATCACTGTAAAATATCCTAAATTACCTTAAAATATATTCACAAACACCGTATAAAATCAATGTTACCTAAAAAAGAAGAAGAAGAAGAAAGAGGAGAAAAATGCCTGAAATTGTTTAAACAGTGAGTACAAGTTAAAAATAAAATAAAAAGTGGTTGAAGTTAAATGTGGCCCGTTCAATTTTTATCTAATTTCAGCGGTTGTCCCACAGCAACACTTTCCAACATCGTTCTCACTGATTATGTCTTTCATCAATCCTTCTATAAGGACTAGGCTAAGAACGATAAGCTTGTAGAATTTCGTGCTTGTGTTCAAGTTGAAGTTGTGACCAATTGACAAGTATAACTGGTTATAATCGAAGTATGTTCCAAACACCAATATATGAATTTGCGTTTTTCAATCGTATCTTTAGTTTTTTCAAGCTTTTATATACTATGTGTTCTTGTCTTGATTCAAGTTCAACTCTCCTCTAATTAAAGATTTTTCTATGGTTTTTATGTATATTAAATATTTAGTGTTGTATTTAAATATAGTAAATCATAGAAGTAAATGAAAGAATAAGAAATATCTGGCGCCAAATTGAGATGGAAATGATGTAATTGATGGGCGAACTTTTACCCAATATTTATATTGTTCGACAACAAAACTAAGAAAGAAAGAAAGAAATGGCACATAGTGATCAACTTATGGGAAGTTGCCAAAAATTAAGTTGAATGATATTCTCATGATCAAAATCGTAGGTGGATAGTTGAACGTCAAATATGTCATCTATTTTAAACAATTTAGTTGCAGTAGCCCTCCACGTCGAACCAAGAGGTGGTGAGTTTGAGTCACCCCAAGAGTAAGGTTGAGAGTTCTTGGAGGGAGGGAGCCGATGGTCTATCAGAAACAGTCTATCTACCCCAGGATATGGGTAATGTCTGCGTACACACTACCCTTTTCATACTTCACTAGTGGATTATAATGGGTTGTTGTTATTGTAGCAAAATAATTATTTAATGGAAAACACGGAAACGATGTGATAAGAACCCGATGTTGATGGACATACACATACATTACAACACTGTTGAAAACTAGACTTTTTACGGCATAGACTTGTGTCCATTAATGGATGAAATTATAATATCCCAAAATATTCATTTTCTTTTTATCTTTTTCCTCCAATAATTTTGAAAAGATCAAGGGAAGAAGTGTGATAAAACACTTAAACTAATTATAAACGACGAAAAGAAAAGGTTTATAGCATGAGTGGCTCTCGTACTTCACGGGTAGACTAAAAGAAAAGTAAAAATGACATTATATAGTCACTGTAAAATTAATAGTCAAAAAAATATATAAAAATATATAAATATATAAAATATATTTTTTTAGTTATCAGATGTAAATAGTTTTTGGCTAATGTTAAAAGTGATAATACAGAAAAGATTAAAACCACACGTTAGAGGCCCAACAGAATAGGTACCATTGAGCGGGTGAAATACACAAATAACACTCAAAATGGATGGTCTTAAATTTGTATTCGTACTTTCTCCATGAGTAGAATTTTCAATTTAACAAAGTTCCCCCTTGCTTGCCTCATGGGCAATATGGTACGACCCAAGATAGCCAACATAAGTTTTGAATGTCAATTGATGGCTACTATCGCAATGGGAGGCTATGTGTGTAATTTGCCATCAAATGAAGACTACATGTAATTGGAGGCTATACTTATAATAATTGATTACACTTAACTCCTTAGAATTAGCTTATGTATATTTTGGGTCATTTGTAGATAAATATCCACTCTATTATAAATAGCCCTTAAGGCTTTTATTTTAGGTAGACTTTGATGAATGATAACTTGAAGATATAAAAGTCTCATACTCTTTACTTATTTCTCAATTAATGTATTTATGAGTTTATGTATTTAATTCTTTATTGCTTTATTTATGCTTTTATTAGTGTTAAATTAGTCGTAGTTGGTGAGCGATTAATAATGAATGATTAATTGATTAATTACTTTGTCCGAATTTTCAAGAGTTGCTAATCTATTGAGAGTTCTCTTAAATTAGGGTTACAATTGATTAAATTCATAGAGGCAATTAGGTTTCATAGTCTAATTGGTTCTTGTTTCTCCAATTAATTGTAGGTGTAACTCTTATTTTGTATTCTTCTTATTTTGCTATTTCTGTATTTTCGTTCATAATTTGTATTAATATAGGACAAATTAGGGGTCAAAAATTAAAAACCACCCCAAAAAAGTAATATTTCTGCGATTTTTTACAATTGAGCGGCCTAAAGCCCAACTGTTTGGTCCTCTTCGGTTTCCTTACAAGTTTGGCTTCTATGCCGACCCCCCTCATATATTTCGTAATGAAAAGAAAAAAGAAAAGATTCCGATATATAAAGATTTTCCACTTGCTTGATGCTTATCCAATTGGACTATTAGAGATGCTGGCATTGAGTTCTCAACAACATGATTCTTTGAAATAGGTTATGATAGTTTGTCTTAAATTCATGTTCTCAAAGCATTGTTAATTTATTGAATTGAAAGATGCATTTATATTTATTGAACTGACGCGACAAACAAGACTCGAACTCACAACTTTTACTTGACAGGACAGTGAACACTTGTTAAACTAGCTATACCAAGCAAAACACTCTCTCAATCTTTTATTTATTTCAAAGCTCAATAGATCGAATCTTATTTAACCTCAACAATCCAATTCCTCTTATCCTCAATAGTGCCTCTTTGAATCCCCACTAGCCTCGAGTTCAATTGCTGGCTTATCGTTTCTGAACTTATCTTATATTCAATCCTGCACATATACATTTCCAAATTATTAATTCATCAATTGAAAGGAAAGAAAAGCAACAGTTAATGTTTGTTGTCTTGCCGAACACCAATTGTTGCTATTGACATAAAAAAAAAAAAAAAAAAAAAAAAAAAATAAAAAAAAAAAACTAATCAAATCAAGTAATAATTTAATGTTTAAACTTTTGGATGAAGTCCAAGTTATAAAATTTATAAATTAACGAAATAACTTACCGTTTACCCTTGTAAGTAACACTTCCTACAGCAGCAACACCAAGTGCAGTTCCTGTACAGAATACTTCATCAGCTGTAATCAATTCCTCTGCTTCAATCATGCGTTCTTCAACCTAGAGAGGAATTTGGATTAATCACTTAAAATCCATTTATTTTCCTGGGATCAGGTTGTTTAAATTAATTAGTGAGTATTTTCTTATAACCTGGTATCCAAGATCATGTGCAATATCTATGACACTTTTCTTCGTAACTCCTTCAAGAATGGTTCCGTTTGCCTTCGGAGTTGAAATGACTTTTCCATGTGAAAGTTGTTGAAAATCGTACAAGATTAAGTAGGCGTTTGGACATAAAAATTATAGCTTTTGAAGAGAAAAAAGTATTTGAAGTTAAGTTGAAATTATGTTTGGATATGCATTTCACTTGAAAAAATATTGCAGTGTTGTGAGGGCAGAAAAAAATTGAAAATTTTGAAGAAGTGGTACTCTTCTTCGAAATTTTTTCATAAAGTTGCAAAACTTCATGGACAATACATTTTTAAAAACAAGGAATTTTTTTATGGACAATTGGGTCCTAAATAATTTTCATATACTATAAACAATTAGATAAGACTACCCGTTGTTAAAAAATTCAAATTATGATGAATTCGTTAGCATACGTGTTAAAATAAAATAAAAATTTATGAAGCTGACCCCACTAGTTTGAGATTAATTAATGAAGACATAATTGATTAACAAGAAAAAAATCACAGTTGAACATATGAGAGCATGTATAATACCTTGACTAGAAAAATATTAGAGGAAGAGGCCTCTTCAATATATTTGTTATTTACTGAATCAAGGTATAATACATCAGTGAATCCTTTCCCTTTTGCATTTCTCATGGCTTTCATCACCTATATTTTCAAAAACAGAATATGCTTAATTATTAAACTCATGAATATATACATAAGTCTTCAATTATCACAAAACAGAATCATTATTTACCGGGGCATAATTAGTAATGCTTTTGATTCCACCAGCTCCACCCAAGGCTGAACGATGAAATTCTTCCTCAACATATAAAGAGAGTGCTCCTGTTCCATCCTATATCCAAAGTGTGACGAATTTGTTTGACTCCTTTGTTTAGAATATTTTTCAGAATAACTTTTTAAAAAGATTAAAAAAAAAAAAAAGGGAGAGCGGTTGACTAAATATACCTTCAAATAGATTCCAACAGGACAAGAATAGACAAGGAATGTGTATTCAGGTGCAGGAGCAACTCCAAGTACAGCTCCACTTCCCATAAGCAGAGGTCTAATATAAAGTGACCCTTTCCCGGCTGGAGGAATCTGCTTTTGTTTTAGGCACAAATAAAGTAAGCATTTTTAACGGCGGGCAACACGGTACACAAGGTATTCTATGTTCACGTAGGGTTCGGGGAACGGTCGCACTTCAAGGAGTATGATGTCGATAGCCCAGGGGAGGATGTGGTGTGTTTAATTGAACTTATAATTTTCGATTCGGAGTAAAAATTTATATATAAAAATTCATTAAAATTACAAAAATAGTATATATGAACCTGTAACTTTAAATATATAATTGGTTCAATGCTAAAAAATTTTAAAAGTTGAACCCACAGGGTTTAAATCCTGGATCCGCATATGGGATAGCTTACCATAATACAAATATTAGTGACTGCTTCCATGGCTCGAACATGATTTATAGGTCACACGGAGACAACTTTACGGTCGCTCAAGTTCCCTTTTCATTTTTTAAAATGAGACATTCATAATATAAAATTAACATCTAATTAAAGTGAGGATTAATTAGAATAAGAATGATTACCCAACGTTTATTGGCCAAAGCTGTTTGCTTAACAGCATCCACAAATTGGTCTACAGATGGAAAAGGCATACACAATCTTTCAGCGCCAATCTGCATTCGAATTGCGCTATCTTGCGGACGGAATACATAAATGCGTCCGTCTTCTCTTCTATAGGCTTTTGTGCCTTCAATTAAACCCTGTTTGAATTTGTAATTACATTAAGTGGCAAGGTCATAAGTGAGACTTTAAACTAACGGTAAGAATTTGAATGAATTCAACATATAACGAAGAATAAACTTGAAATATTTCGTATGGTACAAACTTTTGCTTAACTCCTTTTGCTATTTTATTTTATACTATATTTGAAAACAAAAATTCCACTAAAATTTAAGTTTACAACTTATTATGTTCCAGGAAAAAATAATTTATGGTTGGTTGGTTATGGAATTTCTTAGGGGTAATAACAAAAGATCGATCCTAAGAGAAATTTTCTAGCCGTTGGCAGCTTTTCCCCACTATGCTGGATAGTTTTGCTTGCTTACCTAACTATTTACCCTACTACTCCATTATAATTATAGTACTACAATAAAATACTATACTTTTTTTTAATTATTATAGTGATAATATATAATTACCCGTTGAGTTTGTACCACTTGCACCCCAAATTTTGCGGATTCCTGTGACCCCTGTAATTATTTGAAGTGAAATAAGTGGCACCTACAATATTTTGTACGTAGCGTGTGTGAAAATAATCTGTCTAATTCTGACAACTTTTTTATTTTTACTTTTTCCTCGATTGCCTTTATCTTTTTCTTTTCATTTTCTCTCTTTGCTAATAATCACCAATTAAGATATTGTGAGTTCGAGTCACCCCAAAAATAAGGTGAAGAGTTCGAGTCACCCCAAAAATAAAGTGGAGAGTTTTTGGAGGGGGAAACCGAGAATCTATCGGGAACAGACTCTCTACCCAGGATATGGGTAAGGTATACATACACACTACCCTCCCCGGACCCATTAATGAAATTATATTAGGTTGTTGTTGTTGTTGTCGTCGTCTCTTTCTTTTTTGCTGGTCTCTTCTTCTTCGTTTAAACCAGTTGATATCTCCTCCACCTCCACGTAATTCCACCCACCTCTGTTTTCAGCAAACTTTTCTATGTTTTTCTTTAAAAACAAATTAAAACACAAAAATAATAATTTCTTAATCTCAAATTTCACATGAGAATAACCATTATCATCAGTAGATCACAAAATCGAAGCTGGTATATTTATAATTTTTTCGGCAATACAGAAGGATATGGAGGTGTGGGTTTTGGTGGTTCTCTATTCTCACATAAGTTCAAAGATTCTATCTTAAAGCAATGCATATACACTTGCCGGAGCAAAACACATTTCAAGAGCTTTATTTTCTCGAGCAAAAATGGTAATACTATTTTTTCTAATAGCTTCTTCAAGATTTTGAAGCAAAATGGCTTTTAATGGGTCTGGTATAGTTTTTGAATCTTAGATTTTTGTTGAATAATGATTTGGTGTTGATTTAAATTTCAGATTTGGTTTGGTGGCAGTTTGCGATAGCAATTTTGATTGGCAGTGGTGAATTTGATTTTCCGGTAGACATGGGCGGTGGTGACAGTGGCTATGACGGAGCCAGTTGTGTTGGAAAAGAAGATAACAAAAAAGAAAAGAAAGAAAAGGAAAAAAGATAAAATGAAAATTATAAATAACAAAGAAAAATCAGTATAAGAAAAGAAATTACGTGGCAAAATATGATTGATGCGTGTTGTCCACTAATTCTTTTGAAACTAGTACTAGTCACAGAAGGAGAACCTTATTTCACTTCAGCAATTACAAGGGGTCAGTTTGAGGGTGCAAGTACAACCATTATGTATTATCTCTTATTATACTACTATAAATTTCTGGAATGCTTATTTCTTAGTGAAGCATATTCACGGGATTTTGCTACCAGATTTTATTGGGTTATTTTTTAAGGCTTATTCACGTGAAGCATTTTTTTGAATTAAAAAAAAAAAACATATCACGTGAATTTACCGGCCCTAATATTTGGGTGAACAAAAGTATAAGCCGAAAAATGAGCCTAGCTTAGGAATATCATTTTGGTAAAACAAACCGAATTGAAAACAGCACAAAACTGAAAAGTCAAACCAACCTGATTAAAAAATTCGACTTGATTTGGTTTGATTTGATTTGGTATTGAGTAAAAAAATTTGAACCAACCCGACGTATAAATATATAACTTATATATATATTTTTAAGATTTTATATCAATTTTTTTAAAAAAATATCTAGAAATATTTGGGATTCTCTTGCGGGATATAAATTTTAATAGAATATGAAGTGCTCCATATTTATTGACCTTAAATAATTGATTGTATGATCACTTTCTTGTCAAGTGTTATTGAAATACGTTTATCTCTTTGTTCTACCATATTCATATCATAAGATCTATTAAATTCCTATATCTTTTTCGAATGTGAAGTGATTATTAATATTTAGGTATCATATTGATTTTTATGTTTAATGACTAGATTCGATTAACTTGAAAGTGTACATAAACAAAAAATTATTGTTAGACGACTACAAAAATAACTATTATGTTTTACTAATAGAATTCTCCCATAGGAATATTTTAATCGATAATATATTTGTCAATTTTTTATATTTTTACTAAATATATATTTAGTTATCAAATATTTAACAAAGTAAGATTGAAATAATATTTAAGTAACAAAACCCGAAAAACCCGGTTCTACACCCCTATTACCCACTAGACACTGTTTTGTCTATATTCAAAACAATAGTAGGCACTCAACATCACATGAGAGCAATATATTTAGCAAATAGAAAAATAATTGACTGATTAATTAATTGCTTTTTTCTTAACAATGTATTCGGAAAAAATATGTTTGCTAAGCCAATAGACCTTTGTTAACTTCATTCTACAACTTGTACTCATCATAATTGTATACATAGAAACTGAGACTGATACATAATCGTCATTTAATAGTATAGATATATGTTGCTTCAAATTCCTCTTTAGAAATGAGAAATTGAAGATTAAACATAATCTTCGATTGATGTGCTTATTGAAATTTTCTCCATACCTCATTGAAATGTCTCAAAATATATGAAGATTAAAAGTAACAAGGAAACAAAATAGAAGAGACAAGCTTTCACACAAGAGATTAATATCGAAATCAAAACCCAAAATGTTTTGCCCCAAATTTTTTTTTTATATATATATATATATNTATTATAATTTTAAAGTAGTATAATTTTTCTTGTCTGAGTTAAGAAAATAAGAAATACCTGTCCATAGTTCAAGATTCCAGCAGAGGGGCTCAATTGAATATTTCCAAAAGGATTTAGTTGGCCTGCTTCAAAATTTCCATCCAAACAGCTTTTGGCTATAAACATATAATCAGTTGGCATAACCTTGAATCCCAAATTATCCCAATCAATCTCCTCAGGCTCATATTCCCTGTAATCATTATGACAAACATAAATTAAACACTTTAATTTAACATGCACTTGTTTTTTCAAAGGCAAGTTACCTGTAAGTAGAAGGTTGTAAAGAAGTTGGAGATGGTGAAGAGGAGTGGGAATTGAGAGCAGATTGAGAGGAAGAGACAATATGGTTAGAAGCCATTGCTGTGAGATAGAAAAGAAGTGGGTGCTCTTTTGTTTGCTCATGCACATAAGCTGCTTCTGAAATATATATAGAGAGAATTAATACTGCAATAAAGCTGTGTTCAAACCTTTTTCTCTTTTTTTATTCCTTTTTTAAATTGGACACTCTTAGTTAACTAGCTAAACAGAACGTGCACATACAACTGAGGTCTTACTCTTGCAATATAATTGAGATGATCCTTTACAATGAAGCTTATAAATACACTCAGAACGTGGAAGGTTACTTTTGTTTTGATACACTGTTATTAAGAAAATTATACACTCAACAATAATTTATATCAAATCAATAAATTTATAACGTATGTCTTTTATATATGCATATTTTTAAACACAAGTCATGTAGACTCCATTATCTTCATTAAATCATAGAATATCTAGCGGTCCCTTTTAACATCATCAAACTTGTTGATGAAAACACTCTTTTCTTGTAAAAAAGAATAGAGAACCCATAAGAGTAATTCTTTATGAGTAAGTGGGAAACATCATATCCTTTAGGTTTGACTCACTATCGTATTATAGGACTTCAATTGTGACATGATATTTATCACTCCTAAACTCATGCATATAGTGTACCCATTATTGTAGCCTTTGAGAAATATCCCGTCCACTCCAATAATTTTATGCTTTCCTTGCTTTTCTTTTTAAATTTAAATATTCACTATCAAAGTACTCCCTCCGTTTCAATTTATGTGAATTCATTTGACTGGAAACGTAGTTTAAGAAAAGAGAGAAGACTTTTGAACTTGGGGTGTAAAATGAGGCACATATATTTTGTGTGGCTATAAATAATTACATAAAGGTAAATTATTTTCAAATAGGGAAAGATATCATTTTTTTTGGCACGGACTAAAAAGGAAATAGGTATAGGGGAAAGAAGAAGGCATTTTAATATCTTAGTCAACTTGATTCTCTAACTTACTGTTTAAATAAAAAAAATGAAATGGCATATAAGTTAGAATAAAATATGTACGCTAATGAGATTGATTGGTGAAAAAAACCTTTTGTTCTTTGTTTTTTTATGCTAGCTAGTCTAGTGATAATAAGTAGTAGTACTCTTTTCCGAAAGCGAGCCGCTTGATCATATTGCTCTTCTGAATTTACCAAAATTGCAAATTACACATAAAAAGGGAGTGATTGCAACAAAACATATTATAAAAGTGGCATGGCTGATGTTCTAGAGAACGTGCAAATTTTATTTGCTCACTTGAGTAGTTTAATGTAAGTGCTACGTACACTATAATATTTTAGGAGCATCAGATGCTATTTATGTGGATTTTTTTATATTAAGGGTTATACAACTTTTCACTTCATCCAAAAAAAAAATTCTTATCAAATTTATTATTTACTTTTCCTCAGGTTATACATAAATTATATATTAATTATAACTAGACAATTATACAAATATTATAATTATATATATTCAGAGGCGGAGCTAGGGATTTAAGTGTGTGAGTTCTAAATTTTAAAATAAAATATTACTTCTAAGGGGAATCGAACCCCCATCTTTTCCAATAAACCTACAACCCTTGCCATTGAACCAAGACCTCTTTTGTTATTGGATTCGGCAGTATATATTTATATAGATTTAGTAAATATTTCAATACAAATATAGGGTTCCGAAAAAAGTCACCGGATTCACCTGAACCCACATCCACTACTGTAGCTCCTCCCCTGTATATATTCATCAATTATTTTTAATTTAACCAGTTTGATGAGCTGCTATTTAGATTCATCATTCACATTGTTTGGAGCCTAGAGCACGTACAATAAGTTTTGTTTTTATTCTTTTTCTTCCCTTTTTTTTATTTTTTTTATTTTCTATTAGAAACCCTTCTTAAATTAGGAGTAAGGTCTGCGTTGTAATTATTGTCTTCCCCCTTTTTTTTTTAATTTATAATTTCCACCAGCAAATTATTCTAGGGACAGAACAAACGCCACGTTTATATCTCAACAAACTTGATTCTCTTACTTAATATCTGAAAAATGAAAGAGCGTCTAAGTTAGAATTAAATATTCCCTCTAATCTAATGAGATTTATTAGATCAAACATTCTATATATTTCTAGTTACCGGACCTATAAATTAGAGCAAATACTCTACTTATAGCATCTGATACTTGTTGAATGTGGGGAAAGAGGTCTAATCTAATGAGATTTATTAGTTCTAGTACCTAGAAAAAAAAAATTAAGTATCAGATGCTAGAAAAAAAAAAATTTAAGTATCATATGCTATAATGTGAACTAATCCTCTCTAATAAGGGGTGTACATTCAACAAGGGTTTCTTCTTTTTTCCTCCTATCCCCTCCCCCCCAAACCAACCCCACCCCCTCTGTTTTTAATTTTGTTTTTTAATTATACTATTATACAATATACAGGCTCATGTTAGATGACTTTAATGAGCTATTAAGTAATCGATCAATTTTAATTTGCTTATTTAGATATTACACGGTATAAAATTCAAATTTTATAGGGTCGATATGAAATTGGGCCAAATTCTAAAATCAAGAGATACTTGCCCGATTAAGTCTAAGGCTAGTTTAGACTTCATAGCACCATTAATTCTGTTAAAATTTTTAAAGAGCAGTACAAACAGAAATAATAAGCTGAATTAAATTATATTTTGTACGAATCTTCTTCAAGGGAATTTTGCTATCCAATTAATAGAGGAGACATATATTGCCTAAAAAGAATAAATGTGGGGAAAGAGGTATTGATGAAGGAGTACTACAATAAATGCTTTTCCATTTAAAAGAAAAGATCCTCTAATGAAATAAGTTTTTGAGTTCGTTATGATATAAATGGACTCTATGCAAGTAATTTGTGGACGGGGATCCTATTTGTATAGGAATGACCCTTGTCACGCCCCTTTTTACCTCCAAAAAAGATATGTGTTTTATGAACTGTGGTGGATTAAAAATAAATTTTAATTAAAATGACAAATTTTTTATAGAGATTATTTTATTGACGGAGTCGTCACTTGGAATTGAGTTTTGGTGTTCCAATTCACCTTATTGAATCCCTAATCAAAAGAAAATTGACTCTACTTATTATTGGTCTGCGAAAATAAAGTCTGGGTAAGAAATTATGTTGACTGGGAAGAAGGTGTAAGGCATTCCCCGAGTCCCATGGTTCTAGCGTCGCTTGATTGACTACATTTAGCTTGAATTAATTTTAGACAAACTGTGATTTATAAGATTTTCATGTTTTTTTCTATGTCCGCTTTTATTACTTGATTATTAAAATTATTAAATAGTCCTACACTACTAGAAATTCGAAAAAAACCGTCAAAAAAATCGACCAAAGTTGGTCGGTAATGGCCAATAACCGTCCAAAACACGACCATTAACGTGTGGTCGTTATTTTGAAGGTCGGAAAGGCATACCGACCAAAGTTGGTCGGAAATTACCGACCAACTTTGGTCGTTCAATTAAATTCAACAAAATAAATTGCCAAAAAAACCGACCAAAGTTGGTCGGTATTTTAATTATGTAATTAAAAAATGCACCATCTAGGAATCGAACCGGGGTATGTATTGTGGCAGGATACTATTTACCACTAGACCATTGGTGCATTTTATTTTAAGACTGTCTTTTATTTCATTTATACTCTTTAATTATATTTTCTCACGAAAATAACCGAGCAAAGTTAGTCGGTTTTATTAAAAAATAAAATTACCGATCGAATTCGGTCGATTTTTTAAAATGACCGTCCGAATTAACCGACCGATTTCGGTCTGTTTTTTAATATTAATTTAAATTTATTTTAAATGAAAAACCGACCAAAGTTGGTCGGTTTCGTAAAAAAAGTTAAAAAGTAAAATATTTGAAAAACCGATTAACTTTGGTTGATTTTTTGGTCGGTTTTTTGACAGACCATAATTGGTCGGTCGATCGTGGTCGGTGTTTGCCGAATTTTTAGTAGTGCTAACCGCACCACGCAAGCGAATGTGCAACCGAGGCGGAAAAAAAATTATAGCGTGCCCAATGTTTATCTAGCGCTTAAATTAATTACTAAGATTATTTAGTTACATAGTTAATTAAGCTACATAATTTAGAAGAAAATATGACAAATTAAAAATTATTTGAAAAGCTGATAATTAAAAATTCGGACCAACTTCATTTATTGGGTTTAAAATGGCATTGGGTCACTTTCTTTGTTATTGGGGCTGCTGGGCCAATTTTGGTGCAGTTACACTGCTGGCCCATTTTGAAAAACTTTAACATTGGGCCAGCCCTTAACTTGTTATAGTTGGGCCTGCAGAAATTTAGGTTTTGGCCTAGGATAATTTGAAATTGGGTTTGCATAGACAACCACTTGAAGGCTAGATTATTAACCCAACTATTTTACAATAGCCATTTCTACCAAGTCATGACCGTATAAACAACCAATTTTATCTTAATTAAGATCTAAATCAGAGTGGCAGGCCAAAAATCCAACACTAATCGATTTTCAATACTTTAAACATAAAGCATTCAAAACTAACCTCCATAAAAATACAAAAAAAAAATAGTTTCAACTACCTATGTAAAAGAAAGTTAATGTTAACTCACATCTAGCACGTTTCCAGGCTCAATCACAATCATAATATTTATTCTTAGACAAAATTGAACATATTCATGTTCCAACAATCCAAACTAAATTCAAATCTTTATTACTTCTGAAAGTATCTGCAATACAAAGTTAAAAAAAATAACACTTGGATCGCAGAATTGTAAAAATACAGCCGTAGAATTAGCAAGAATAACAACAGAAATGGCGTTAAGATAGCCCAGAAAACCAACAAAGATGCTTGAAACTAGTGGCTAAGCAACTTCACAAATAGCCTGAAGGGTCTTTCTATTTTTCTCAAAGGTTTTGCACTCTAAGGGACACTCACAAAGCTCACAATTTTCACCTACTAAACATGATTTTACTGAAATTTTTCTCTCAAAATTCTCTCCTTTTTTCCCCAGCCCGTAGAGATCTCCGCTGCTACTCTAAAGATGTATGTATTAGAGAAAAATCAGGCATTTCACGAGTTTATGTATTTTTTCTGACAGATATTTCAACAAAATTTACTCTAAAATTAAAAAAGCAAGACTTTCTAGTTCAATCTTGTCCAGAAGAGAATATTTCAACCAAAATCTGCTCTTCACTATTGAAAGACAGACTTTTGTTCAAAAATT